GATGCTGTGAGTAAACCGGTTTTCCGGGAGATGATGATCTCCGGTAGCCTGAGTAGGTATTCGGAACGGCCGGTGACGGTGATGATACCTGATGCTTGCTTGAGTTTCGTGGTGGACGTAGGTATAGAGACTTCGACTCCGGTGGTTTGCTTCGAAACCGTCAGTCCATGCTGTTTGTGGAGTTGTTTCTTGAATCTTCCTACGCTTATCGAAGCTGGTGAAGTTCCCTTCAAAGGTAAACACTTGGAAAATTAAGTAATTAAATCCTTCCTAGAAAGAGTTTTTTGTAATTTTATGTTTTTTATTCTAAAATCAACGTGCCATTAGTTACATTCTAACAATGTGCCATTAGCAAACCTCATTTGTATAAAGGTGGACATGACACATTTCCCTTTCTTTAAGCCAAATAACGTATGCCTCAATTTACAAAGCTCAATGTGCAACGAAGTGGTCAAATCGCCCATCCCTCTTCGGTTTTACAAACTCGTCCATCCTTCTCTTTAACGAGGTGATTGAACAAATCCCTGTAGATCGAGAGCTGCAGGGACAAAACCCCCCACCATGACAACCCATCTCCTGTTGGCTGCAATCTTCAACGCCCCTATATATCTTCCCCCACCACCACCGTCTCAACTCCGTCAATGTCTTTCTCCGGCGTTATCTTTGATTTAGGATTTTGTTTGATTAAGAAAAAGAAATTGAGTTATTGTAGAGATTTTAGATTTTAATTATTTATGTATTCTAGAGAATATATAAAAGGTATGTTGTTATTAATGATTTAAAAATTTGATTACTGTGAGAATACATTTTTATATCTATTTTAACAATGGTAGCTATCGGTTTTACTTCAGGGGATGATTTAGACGAATTGGTAAAGAGTGTGCCGGGAACAGAAAATATTCTCCGGCGTCGGGATCTTGCCAGCTTCTGTCGCTCCAACGACATATCAACGCCGGTTATTCAACTCATCCTGAAAGAAGCTCGAGCCATTCCTCGAGCTCAAGGTCTCATACTCAACACATTCCAAGACTTAGACGCTCTCATACTAACACACATGCAAACCCTTTGTCCAAATATTTACCCCATTGGCCCACTTCACTCTCTCCACAAAGCTCGGCTCAC